TAAGGAACAAGAATATTATTGAATGTAGCTGGAGCATCCTTCATATTCGGGCTTTAAAGCACAAACAGTATAATTGTAATTAACCCCCTTTCCTATAAAGTATCACTACCTAAGCTCCAAAATATAATTTTTAATCCATAGGTACGTAAACACATGTTACATAAAAGCAAAATATTTTAGGACGTAACTGGAAAATTTATCTGACAGTTTATTCTTTCCTCTTTCTCTGTTTCTACAGAGCAGACCCTTTTTTGTCATGTTCGTCACATTTGTAGGAAGCAAGATATTACAAATAGTAGTCAAAGAAATCCGTTGTTTCGGTTATCACAATAGTTTATTATATTGTCCTCTTTTCCTAATAAAGTATCACTATGCTGAGCACGCAAAAAGATATTTTTTGTCACCGAGTAGTTATATAAAATGGTAGAGAGCAAGAATTTATAATGCTCTCTTCTTTTTTTATCATTATTTAGAAATCGCAAAAAGAATGTTTTTTTGTCCAATAGTTTACGATAAAACCCATATTATATATTTGTCGTGGTTGATTAAGATTTGTTAATTTAATGACTAAAACTGTTATTTTACCGATTTATCTATAACAGATAATTAGTAGTATATATGATACTAAATATAATCTAAGCAGTTAATTAATTTCTAAAAGAAAAAAAAAAAAAAAAAGGAAAAAAACTGATAAATGATGGTATGATATTTGATTCCAAAATTATAGGAGAAATGTAATAAGCAACTAAAAAAAAGATAAGCTGCTAAGGACTAGATGATTACGCTATTCTAGGTATTGCCAATCATCTACAAATGTTTACAATCAATTATTAAAATTATTGTGTTTCAATCAACTGGGAATCGCATTAAAGTAGTTCAATATAGGTTATAGCAATAACATCATTTTTTCAAGCAGGCAAAGAAATTTAATATAGGTATAAAGCAAATTAATGGCTATATATAAAATATAATTTTTGAAGCTTAATTAACCTTACCGTTAGAAAGTCTCAAAGCCCCAAATATCCAAACAAAGCCCTTAAGGGGGCAATATTTTATGCAATGTTTGGCCTAATAATTTTTTATGTGGTATTTCTGGTATGGTCAAAGCAGAAATTATTGAGGAGGTTTGGAACATGGATACATCTGTATATGCATGTTAAGAGCAAATGAAAGGTTTCTGGATTATAATGAAGAGTAAAGAAAAAAAAACCAAGAATTGGTCATTTTCATTAATTGCCATGTTCTTTGGAAGATAATCAATTGTTTAGGGCCTTAAAATTTCCTTTTTAAAAGTCACCGAACATTTCTTGTATAATACTATCTAAAAGAAAGGAGCGTGACAATTGATTTGGGCTGCCACCCAACACCATATAATTGATGCCTGTCCTCCCTCAATCTCATGGTGCTGTCAATGATGATGATGGCATGTGGATATTGAAATGATTAACACATGTCACATGCCCAAAGTATGAATTTTCCCTTTTTCAATTTTTTTTTTTTATATACACATTAGCAATATTTATTCTATACTATTTACAATATGTACGCTTACCTTTTGTGCATATCTATGTAGTAAAATTTTGACTTTTCACATGATAATTAAAAAAATAATTAATACAGTTTAAATTAAAATATTTTTTTAAAATTAACACTTGTGCTAATTATTAGTTATGTATATACAATTAAAAATATGGATAATCTATTAAAATTAGAAATATAAATGAAAAATTAAAAACAATAATGATAATTCTTTAAAAAGAGAAAAGAAAAAAAGGATTATATTTTGGAACAAAAACACATGAGAAAGTGAGTTATACAGAGGATTTGAGGGAAATAATATTAATACCAAATCCTAATCAATTAAAAGGAAAAATAAAGAATCATATAATAGTTTATTGGCTCATCAAAAGGCCGAAAAGCGTAAAACACACTATTTCAATTTTGGGCCAAAAATAGGGACCCTCCTTGTTAATCAATTCATTAAAATAATGTTTGGTACCAAATGATTGTCCAGTTTGTCCCTATATATCTCTTTATAGTTTCCTAATATGGCATTATGCCAAAGAAAGAAACACATACTTTACATTTTATTACCTTCTGCTCCAGAACGATTTCAGCTTAATCATGTGCGTTTTAGATTCATTATTCTTATATCAGGTCTTCTTGTAAGCATGGAGAGAGAGACGGAGTACGAATTCAGAAAGAAAAAGAAATATCTTTGCAAACATTTCATTAAAAATTTCAAGTTATAATATTAAAAAAACTAAAATGTGATTTGAAGAAGAGGCCACTTCATTTCTGTAATTATACACATGTTTGCTGGTAGGTAATCCAAAGAATAGCGAGTTGAAGAAAATTGAGTATCTCTATGTTATATTAACTAATTCTTAGAGAAAAAGATTACATCAATACTAAATGGGCCCAATATAGTCTAATATAGAAACTAAGCTGTTGAAATTCTGTAGCAAAGGCTACATGATATGAGAACAGTATGGGTACGAAAAAGGGAAAAGGAAAAAGAAAGCAAACTAGGCATTTTCCAAGAACTAGCCTGTGTGAACATTCTCAACATGGTAAATTCCTTTGATTAAATTTAACATTTACAAAGAGAAAAGAAAAGGCTGCAAAGAATACTAACCACTGCTAATGGTGATAATTTAAAAGAATTCCTATATCTCCCTCGCTTTCTTTTCCTGGCTAGTTTCTTTTTCTCTCTTCTAGTTGTATGGTGATCTGTTTGATGCTAGCAGACATTAACTACTGGTGGTTTTTAGCTTCATTAGGTAGAGTCCCTGTTGGATTTTTCCTAAAGACATGCTTTCTGCAACGTTCAAAAATGCTATCGTACATAAGATCAAATTGAACTCCTGCTCTTTCTCTGTTTACAATGAAAAAAAAATGTGGTCTGCCTCTACAATCTTCGTAGTACCGTGCGAAAGTATTAAAACAGATGCCACCTCTTTGTTAGCTTGTCCAGAATGATTGACCGTTTCCACCATTCTTGGAATAAACCTTGATTTGAAAAATTGGAATTCTTACAGCGATTACAATTTTAGTGGAAAATTATATAATGAAAATTTGGTAAGATTAGTTAACTTTATTATTTCTATTTACATAATGTGGAAGCTTTTAAATATGTCTATATATTGCAATGTCTTTCAAATCTTTTCTCTTTTTTAAAAAAAAACCAGCAATATGAAATTTATATCGAGCACACAAAAGAACAAAGAAATAGACTTAAAAACTGAAATAGAATGTCCTATACTTGAAACCTTTGGAAAGGAATTTTATATAGCTGATGATATGATAATATTTGCAATTTGATTAGTAACTATGTTAGTTAATAGCCCAGACAAGCCAATGTTAAGCATTATATATATATAGAGAGAGAGATAGACGAGAGAGAGAGAGAGGAAAAGTGTCCGTAACTAACCCAGATTCCCGGTTGGCAAAGGGTTGACATTCAGAAATCACTTGTGGATGAAAAGGTTCGGGTGTTCGACTGAAGAACGGAGGGTGAGTTGAGGATATGGTGTTAAGTGCTCCGATCATTTCCTCTTGCATCTTCTCCCTGCAGATACATTCACTCAAGGCATGAATGGCCAATAGAATTTGCAATTAAAACGTATGCAAAGACATTTTATATGGAAATATTGTACAATGACACATCATGAAACTCATTACATAAAATAACAATAATTTTAATCACATTTGGATTAATTAAAAATGTTTCTCAATAAATTACTAAAAAATAAAACATCAAAGTCATTCTTCCAAAATTACTTACAACATTGGGGTGACCCTTATTTGGTATAAAAAAATGAATTCTCGATTATAGTATCGTGGGATCCATTTGCATAATGATAGAGGCCAATTTAGAGTTCATATTATACGCTTTGATTGCAATAAATTTTGTCTCTCAATTGTCGCCGAAATTGGGAATATTATTCGGGAGTTTCCACTAAGGGCCGTCAACAATAGCACGCATACAAATAACTTTATTGCAAGCATACATATAAGAGCTTCACACCACGAGAAAAAATAGTTATTTGGTGTTCGCAAGTCATATACAATACCAGTATCCTTTGTAAGGAAGGAGAGATGTACCGGAGGAGAAAAAGCCAATTGGCTATTTCATATTTGCAGACTACATACTTATAAAACAATGGATTGTGTATTCTTCGCCAAGAATGTCTGGAAGGGAATAGTTGTAGCAAGCCACTCATTCATTACATTATACGAGTGTCCGTTAGTAGCCCATAGTTGCAAATAATATAGTTACATATTTGATATCAAGCAAAACCGGTTATTGAAGATGACAGTTGCAGTTGGTCATTAGTACACGCTGTGATTATTGTGAGATTCCTTATGTGAAGAATCCAATCTCACCTTGTACGTCAGAGATTGGACCCGGCAATATCCCAGTTAAGGATTCTCAATTTAAATTGACCTCAAAAATTCCCGCATTATTATCTCATCCATAGTTATTCATGTTAAAGTGATTCAAAATTTCCGAAATTGTTAATAACTCTTCAAACAAGGATATGTAAGCCATCATGAATATTATCACCTAAGGCAAGACTTTGGAAAGCAGACATATAAGGTTTTAGGTCTTGCCATCTTTTCCTGGCCTGAAACAGTTTTAATCAGCAAGTTTACACAATCTATCATAATAATCAATGCCGCTAGTTTTCAGCAAAACAATTATGAAAACGAAGGATCCTATTCTAATCCACTGAAGCTAGAATAAGGGTTTAATAAATCAGGAATTTAAAGAATAATAGCATGCATCTAGGCCAACAGTTAAATTAAATATTAAAAAAAAAAAAAAAAAAAAAAACAAAAAAGAGAATGCGAGCAAAATTCTAACAATTCCCACTTTAATGTATAGACTTCTAGATGGAGAAAATCCAAATATAAAAAAAAAAAAAAAAAAACAAAAAAGAGAATGCGAGGCAAATTCTAATTCACTTAATGTATAGACTTCTAGATGGAGAAAAATCCAAATAAAAGCCAAATCGGGGAAAGTACTCACTGCATTCCATCTAAATATGCTCTTGTAGTTCCATTGAAGGCTCCAGATAAGGATGTGAGGCTTAATACCCAATTCTCAGAAGTGTTCTCATAGCCCTTAAACGCCTAAAAAACATCGAGAACCACACAATCAAACAAATGAATTTGAAAAATACTAATTGGTTGTATGCTGATAATTTAGACAAATTAGACTAACCTTGTCTGCAAGCATTTGCTGCAGAACTCGAACAACCTGTGCTCCGGCAGAGTGACCGACAAAGTGAATTGGGTGATTCTCATCCCATTCAGGATAATGCCCTGCATCCCATAATCACCAACAAACAAAAAGTCATTTTGAAATCAAGCCAAGACTGTAATGCAGCCAATTATCAAATGCAACAGACAAAATAGTTATAGAACCTATTAAAAAAAACAGTGTAAAGATCTTTTGACCTTGTTCGTAAATCCTTCCAAATTGGGAGTGCCCGCAAGCCTTACTGTGTTCTTCACCATAATCAACTTGCCCACCTTTCAAATAATAGAACAGCTCTCTTGCCCTAAATAAAAAACACCATTACCCCTCTCAAAATCTGGCAACAAAGCTGAAGAAACACAATACAAAGAACAAAGAATAGACCAAAGAAGGCCAAGAATGGGCATACGTTGCAACCTTTCTGCGCACCCATAACTCACCTATCATATATGCTGGTTAAGGACCCCAAATCAGGCACCAGAACCTTTTCATCTTTCTTTTCAGCCCCTGCAAAATAGGATAAACCTCCCAGTCTCTGAACCCAATGGTAAACGAAAAACCCATATGAGAGCTAAATAAGATTATTGATTTCCAAGCACTGAAAAAAAAATAATAAAAAAAAAAACATTAAAGATTTTAACAAGAGAAAAAATCACACACCCCTTTGCCAAATCCAAAGATTCCATGGACCAACACAATAGGAGGCAAGTCATCGCCGCTGGTGGTTGTTTTTGAAATCCCTCTCGACTCTTCCTCTTTGACAACAATGTTCATATTAGGCTTGTAAAACCATTCATTTAAAGTTTGTGAAAGATCACCGGCCACAGCTGTGCTAAATATGTAAAAACCATACACCAAATGCACTAAAGTACTCACAAACAGCTCCGTTAATTCGAGAGCAGATATCCACCAACGTATCATTTTCTCAACAATCACCAAATTCAAAGCAGAGCCTTCCTCAAAATTAGAATCAAAACAAAACCCACGAGAGAAGGCTCGTTAAAGCTCAAAACTTTGTCCTTAAAATAATCAGAACAAAACCCTTTTCATCAAACCCCTCTATGACACGCCACAGAAGGGGGACAATAAAGAAACTAAAGGAATGAAAAAGAAATCGGCTTTCTTAATTTTCTCTCTCCCTCTGTTTCTGTAACAGCTAATATTTTTTTTGTTGGTTGGCGTAATTCAAACTTTGAAAATAGGTAATTCCCTCAATTTCCTCATGTCTTACCTCACACAAAAGTCTAAGCCAACCAAAGAGCTTTACTGCTACTAGTCATTCATTTTTCTTGTGCAAGGCCATACATAGACCAAGAAAGGAAAAAACTTTGGTTTGGGTTGGTGACGTGTCTCGGGGATGACCGCTCCTGCAAGCGACGCAGAATCTTCGTAAGACCCCACAAATTATAGGGACCTTAATAATAAAATCCAAAAATTTAGCCTCTGAATTAGTGATAAAAATACAATTAAAATTAAAATTCTATAAGCATTATTCAGTTTGGGCGTTTGTTTCTAAGAGTTGCTGCGCTGGATCAGAGCTGTAACTGCAAGTTTTCCCTACCCAACAATTAACATATAAAACCAACTTCCAACTGTATTATCCTTATCCATTATTATTTGATCCCTACATCTCATCTGTTAACCCACTCGCCCATAACACTGTGGAACCCAATCCCATAATTCCCCATATGCTTTACTTCATTTATTTGTTGACATTCTTTTTAAAATATTTATTTTCATAATAAATAACCCACCTTTCAAATCTTTAGATTTTTGTTAATTTTAATAATTTAGTGTCCAGATTTTTTAAATTGTTGGAGGCTATACTTGAAATCTTTGTTGTTTGGTTATTTTAAATTTTTTTGTTATTTTTATAAACATTTAGAGCAATGTTTGGAACTCCAATCTAACATTTTAAGTTTTTGAATTATTAATTTAAGATACTGAATAAATATAGTTATAATAATATTTTAAATTCATTTGATGATGAATTTAACCTTTTAAGATAATTAATATTTTAATTATTAAACCTAACTATCACAATTTTTATGTATTGGGAAGAGAATTTAAACCTAAAATCATTAGAAATTAAATCTAAAAAATTTTAAAAATTATTATTTTTAGTGTAACGAGACGTGAGATAATTCGAAAAATGAAATTAATATCAATTATCAAGTTCAAGATATTATAATTTTTTTTTTTTTAAATTCAAACGTTAAATTATATATTCCACTATTATATTCTATATAATGGTTAAATTAACGTGCATTAACGGGATGAATGCATTTTATGCGCGGGAAGGGAAACTTGGTGTGAGTGTGTTCCAGTGGATATGGTTAATGAGGCGCACATGCACGTTCTCAATTTCTCATTCCCTGCCTTTAGTTTATGGGTTATAAATACATAGACTGTTAATAAAAATTAAAATATTAATGACTTTTAAAAAAATTAATTCTAGTAATATCATTAATGAAAAAACCAATAAGATCGATCTTTACTTTTCACTGCTTATTTTCCTTTATTCTAATTGATATGAAATGAATGGATATAAGCTCAAACAATGTTTAATTGCCATTTGTTAATTAATCAAAGTCAAGTCTAAGGATTGTATTTACCAAATGCAACAATTTAATTGCTTCGTTGGTATTTACAAAATGAATATTTAGAAATTGACACGGAGAAATTTGTAGGATCTATAAATTAATTAAGTAATTGTCATGATCATTACATACGGACATGTTATAGTAGCTAATAGACGGTGACACGTTGAAAATCTGATTCAAGCGATAGAGATTGGTGGAAGATGCCATGTGCTAAGCTTTCACCGATATATATATATACACAACATACATATCAATATGTGCCCTTATATACATTGTTGCGTTGTCACTTTGAGTAGGTGTGCATGGTTATCCATATTACTCCTATTAAGCATGGGAATTATTTAAGTGGGCTCTATCAAGAAATAGTTAAGACATTTTTTTTTATTTTTTTCCCTTTTTCTCATCTCTCTGAACAAATAAATAAACACGGATCTTAAATTTGGAAGTTTTAATTGTTTGAAATATTATAAGAAATTTCAAACAGAAATATTATAAGAAATTATTTCATTTAACGATATGATTTATATATATATTTTGAATAAAAATTCAATACTAATAAAATTATTTGCAATATTTCATTTTAATAATAAAATAATGTTTACTTAATGTTATTTAATTTAATATTGGATACAGTGGCACATGCTAAAATTTTAGGGAGGATTTCAAAGACTGTATTGTAATTTGTGATATGGAATTTTCACCCCATACATAAATGGGTTGGAATGTATGGACAAGGAAGGACCATGCCTCCATATATATAATTTATGACTTGCACGCAATCATTACAATATTTTGTTCGCATTAATTCATTTTGTGTATAATGTTCAATGCAAATGATTAGTACTATTGGTTTACCTAAAAAATGAATTTTTGTTTTTTATAATTTTATTTTTTAATTTTGTTTACATCATGCAACAAAATAATAGTCCCCTATATACAAAAAAAAAAAAAATAATAGGAGTTCAGAATGAAGTATGGGAATCACCTCAAGTAGCAACATGATTTAATCCATGGCGGCCGTGCCGCACACGGCGGCGTTTATTAACTTATTATTTAAAATTATAAATATGTCAAAAGAATCAACTCCATGAAGCTGGAAACTTCTTATGGAGTCTGAGTTAAATTTCAAAAACAAAATTAGGTCACCATTCGAACTTTTTTCACAAAACAAAACATAAAATTGTACCTAGAATGTGTTAAATGTAAATGTATAATTTAGCGACGTGTTAAAAACGTGTTGAATATGCTGTGGAGGTTCAAACGTCACAATTGTGGGGACCAGATTATTTTAGATTTTTTTCTTTTTTTATATTTACGATTTTGTTGGAATATTGTTATTTGAGGGTGGGTGCGCTCACTGTTTTATTTGGGGCTAGTTGGCCCCTGGCGATTTCTAGAATTTTCTTTTGGGGTGCGTGGAATAAATGTGACTATCCAGATCTCCATGCTAGGCAAGGAATCAATTATTTGTGAAATGGTTACAAGCATGCGTTGAAATTGCAGTTTAATAAAACTAAAACATTTCAGCACACTAAGAAATACTCTAGCTATGAATACATGTTTATAAAATTTGGAAATAGATTCATATTCGAATATCTTCTTTTTAATACTTAATAAATAAATAAATAAAACACTTGTCAAAAGAATTAAAAAATAATTTAAATTAAAATTAACATGTGAGTTAAAATTTAATTCTTTATCCATTTCCTAGTGGTAATTTTACCTTGAGCATTTACCCGTATTTTAATTTCTTACTCGTGCCAGAAAAGTCATATATTTTATTATTTGATTACTCTCTAATTTGATGTACCTTTTGTTTTAATAATTTGAAATTGAAATCATTTATATTTTTAAGTAAATTTTATCAGCAAGATTAATATTCAGATTTGAAATTGTCGTTATTCGGAAAGTCTTAATATTATTCTGAGTCCGAGTGTGGATTAGTTTCATCCTTTGTTCGATTGGGTGCATACAACAAAATTAGAGAGAGAGAGAGAGAGAGAGAGAGATGGTTAGACAAGTGGGCTACATAACGGGTCATAGAACGAACTTGGCCCAACTAAAAAATGAACACGTTCAAGCTCAATGTTTCAGGATATGGGTAGGTCCGACTGGAAGTCGATAACCGATTCGAATGGGCTTTTGGCTGTAGCGGATACCCAAATTCAAGGTCTGGCTCAAATGCTAAACCCTTTGCAGTACTTCCTGTTCCCGAAAATGAAATGACATTAGGGTTTAAACTCTCGAAATTTTCAAATCCAATAGAAATCCCCTTTTCAATTCTGCAATCCAAAATCAAGGTCGAAATGGCAATGCCACAGCTGTTTGGGCGTACGAAGAACGTTACAAAGAGATCGAAGAAGTACTTAGAAGAAGCACTGTACGTTAGGCTTTTCAAAGAAGGGAGCTCTGAGGTTAGCGTTAGACAACAGTTGAATGAGTTTCTCAAGAGCTCCAAGCGCGTCTACAAATGGGAAGTTGGGGATACTATCAAGAAGCTCCGCGATCGCAATCTTTATTATCCTGCTCTCAAGGTTCGTCACTTAAAAATCCCAGCTTTATGTTTCTAATTTTTTCATGCTCTAAAATTGGCTATTTCTATGTTATATCACTCGAGCCGTTTCTTTGTTTTTAGCTTTTCCCAAGCACATTTTTTATTTATATAATGTAATTACACATACTGGGAGTTGAACAAAATTTTGAATGGTTAATTGCCTGAGTCAAAATTTTAGCTAACTATAGCTCAAACCCTTTGATCACTACAACTATGATTTGTTGAATTGCATTTGGTTATGCTGGGATTCAGGGGAATTCTTTTTGAAGGTCTAATTCAATGAAGTGGGTGTTAGTTTTGCATTTATTAGGAATTATTGATACTTTCACCGTATCTGCTTGGATGTAAGCCTAGCACATTTTAATTATAGTAGCACAATAGGCATTGATGAAATCAGCTTTCTGCTTAGAAGTAGAATGGAACCTTTAATACAAGTGTTTTAATCAATCAATTCTCAGATTCTGCAGCTGTTTCTATTACTGAGCTAATAGTCGTTAACATGAGCTAGCAGTAGTAACTTGATCAAAAGGAAATTTCTAATGGTGCTCAATTGTGTGTATAAAATTGGAAGCAGATTATAGATATTCTTCTGACATGATACTTGGTTGATTTAAATCTAAGTCCTAACTAAGTTGCTGACAGAAGACCTAGATATGGTTAGTCTCAAAGTGACATATAGAGCAAAATGGGAAGTGTCATTATGGTACGCTTCCAGTTCTGTTAGTTGGTCACGGAATGGATTTGACTATTAGTTTATTTAAGTTAACTGTTCCAATAAAAAATCATGACTTCCTGTTTTGTATTTTAGAAGAGGGTATTTTGACATGTCGAATTTCATAATGATTATTGTCCACTTTGCATTTGTTTATATATATATCTATTCTACAGCTTGTAGTTAATCTATTACTGGATTTTAAGTATCATTCCCAGAATTCTGACAAAAATTGCTCTCTTAGATGCATACTCTGTTAAAATGTAGAAGAAAACTTGAGGTTCTCAATGACACACCCTCTCTTTCTCTTTGTGTTTTGGTGTATGTGGGGGTGTATGCTTGGTATTTTAATTATTATATTGCATCATCTGTTTCTATGACTTGTAATGCTTTTTTATTTGTTTCTTCTAAGCATACCTTTCAAATTCTAGATCAGTAAACTTTTGCAATTTACAGCTATCAGAAGCTATGTCAAAGAGGGGCATGAATAAGACAGTCAGCGATCAAGCTATTCATCTAGATTTAGTTGCCAAAACTCGAGGAATTCCTGCTGCAGAAAATTATTTCATTGATCTTCCTGAAACATCTAAAAACCATCTAACATATGGAGCCCTTCTCAACTGTTATTGTAAAGAATTGATGACTGAAGAAGCTGAATCTCTTAAAGAAAAGATGAAGGAGCTCAATCTCGGTTTGAGCTCCATGTCCTACAACAGCCTGATGACCCTATACACAAAAATCAGTCAGCCTGAAAGGGTCCCAGCAATCATTCAAGAAATGAAAGCTGACAATATCATGCCAGATTCTTATACATACAATGTTTGGATGAGGGCTCTAGCAGCTGTTAATGATATTTCTGGTGTTGAACGAGTAATTGAGGAGATGAAGAGGGATGGTCGAGTTGCTGCAGATTGGACAACATATAGCAACTTAGCCTCAATTTATGTTGATGCTGGCTTGCTTGACAAGGCAGAGAAGGCACTGAAAGAATTGGAGAAGAGAAATGCACATCGAGATCATTCTGCTTTCCAATTCCTAATTACTTTGTACGGTCGAATAGGGAAGTTGCTTGAGGTTTATCGGATATGGCGTTCTCTGAGACTGGCTTTTCCTAAAACTTCAAACATAAGCTATCTTAATATGATCCAAGTGCTAGTCAACTTGAAGGATTTACCAGGTTCAGAGAAATGTTTCAGAGAATGGGAATCCAGTTGCTCAAATTATGATATAAGGATTGTGAATGTTCTAATTAAAGCTTACGCCAAAGATGGTTTGCTGGAAAGGGCAGAAGAGCTCAAGGAAAGGGCCTGCGGGAGGGGGGCAAAGCCTAATGCTAAAACTTGGGAAATATTTTTGGATTATTATTTAGAGAAAGGGGATGTCAAATTGGCAGTTGATTGTGTAGCCAATGCAATATCCAAGGGTAGAGGGGATGGTCAGAAGTGGGTCCCATCACCTGAGATCGTAATGTCTTTCATGGAGCATTTTGAGCAACAGAAGGATGTTGACAGCGCGGAAGCTTTTATTGAGATTTTGAAGAAGGCTGTGGACAATGTAGGGGCAAATGTGTTCGAGTCGTTGATAAGAACTTATGCAGCTGCTGGAAGGACAAGCAATGTGATGTGTCGACGATTAAAGATGGAGAATGTAGAGGTGAGTGCGCCAAGTCAGAAGTTGCTTGAAGTGATAACTGTGGAGTGAATTTTAACAGCTATTCCAGTTTTGTTGTTAAAATTGCAATTTATGTTAAGCAATTTTACACAGTTTAAACTCTCCATTTGTTTCAATAATGAACTGTGCCATATACTCGGTTATGATGAAGATTCATATAGTGAAATGGTTACCACAGCCTAACCAAAACCAAAATGACCTCAAGTATGTTTTTTTTTTTTTTTTTTTTTCCGTGCCATAATACTGCGGTTATGAGAAGATTCATATAGTGAAATGGTTTACCACAGCCTAACCAAAACCAAAATGGACCTCAAGTATGTTTTTTTTTTTTTTTTTTTTTTTTCCCTTTTTCTGGTTGTGCTTGGCGCATTGTAGGACTGGTCTGGGATTTTCTTACAATGTTAGTGGGTCGTGGATCAAAGTTTTTTTTTTTTTTTTTTTTTTTCCCTTTTCTGGTTGTGCTTGGGCATTGTAGGCCATCTGGTCTGGATTTTTCTTACAATGTAGCTGGTCGTGGATCAAAGTTTCCTAGTTCCTATCATGCAATCTATGTTCATCTTGGTTCACTTGATGGTTAAGTTCCTTTTTCTTTTCCTTTTTCCAATTATTCTGTCTTAGCTGCGGTCACTATTTAGTAAGCCCAAAAGTTCACAGAATACTGGTAAATACTACAGGAGCGTTTGTCTTCAAATTTCAAACTGTGGTTTACTAATTCCCAACTTTCCATTGTGTTCTTGTTTAATGCATGAACTGTTAATATGAATACAGATATGAGAGTCAAGATGGTACTATGCCTCTGAGAAGGTGTCCTTTGTGGATTATGTTTATGTGTGGTCCATCAAATTCAGCTCCTCCTCCATTTTTGATGATGGAGGAAATTTCACATTTACTCTTTCAATCTAGTACAATAAATGCCAAGCCAAAATGAACTAGTGTGTACTACTTTGGCATTGTTGCGAATTGATATCGGAGTTGGCATTGAGGGAAAGTTATTAGAAATTTAAGCTTAATATCAGAAGGAGCATTTGATGAACACAAATTAATGGGGACATAATGAGGTATTATTTAGAGTTGGGAGGTCTACAAGTGAGGAATGGTTATTTCTGCTGTAATATTTATTGTTTTAGTACCGTTAAAGAAAAATGAAATTAAGAGCTTTTCCATTTAGTTTTCTTTGCTTTACAAACTTTCAGGCATAGTTGCTTAAAGGAATGAAGAGCATTTATTATCTTCTAGCCAAAATATATTCCATCTTGAATGTTCCATGCTCTTTTATGTAGTTAATTATAGTTTTTGTTCTGTGAATTTTTATTTCTGGTAAGGTATTATAGGATTTGGATTTTTTTTTTTTAATTGCATTTTAAGAAGCATTGTATTTTGATTTAGGTGTATGCATCTCTATATTGTGACAGAAATTTCTTCAAACACACATGTTAACGTAAAATTTTGTTAGAATAGTCACGTCTATCAGTCAATTTTGCAAATGATTTTGTTGGCCCTTAAATTTTATTTTTTAACCTTATGGCTCTTGAATTTCACTTTTTCTATACTTTTAACCCCTGGAGCTTTTTCACTTTTTAATTTGAGATGCAAGATATTATTAGCAAATATGAAGTTCAAGGGGTTTATAAGATCATAAAGTGAAATTTAAGAGGTCACCATGTCATTTTCAAAGTTTAGGGATCAACGAATTTTTTTTTTTTTTTTAAAAAAGTTTTAAGGTTAAATTATGAATTGTGTTGAAGTGTCGATGTCCTGCTGTCTATCCAACCAACAAATTCATCCAATTTTCTCTTCTTTACACTTGGCTTACTGATGCTTGAGGCTATACTTCTTTCGGTAAAACCTTGTGATTGTGTACGCTTAGCCTCTCTATTTGTGGCCTAAACAATCAAATTCAATAGCTTATCCAATTCCATGTGGTTAGCTTGTCATAGATTTCTCTTCAAAAGTCATCCTTTATTCAGACAGCATCTAGAGTTCCTTGAATAATGTGATATCTCATGCCGGATAAATCCTTAACCCTTCACTTATTCAAATGATCAATCACACACATCAAAAGATTAATTGCATAAAATGTTAGAAAAATAGATCATAAATGATTTCATGTGTAGAACCAATTACCTACCTAAGGACCACAAATCAAACCATTTCCAATTTTGAAGTCATGTATTATCAATTGGGCACAAAAGGGTTTTAGGTTAAAATGCTTATTCTTTGTCTTGACAAAACACCTACCTTGCCACCACATGTTTGCCATTGTTGGTCACAGTCAGCTAACATTTTATGATTGTTTGGTTGGTGAATTCAATTAAGAGGCTGCAGAGAGTGGTTGCTTATTCATCCATTTTCAGAATTCACATCTACCATTGAAATCTCTACTTGAATTAGAATCACCAATTACTTTCCTGTTGGTCCATATGTATATTTCTTGAAATCCATTTTTCCTTCACTAATATTGGCTTCTACTCTAAGTATGGTATACAAGATTATTATTTATAAGTTTGGTGCAGAAATATTAATGCTTTCATATATATAAATGTAGGAAGTAGAATCATTCTCTTGACTTCCAAGTCTACTCTTTCTTTGTTATAACTCTTCTTTAAGGCATTTTTTGCAGATTAATTTGTTTTTTTCTTTTGCAAATTAAAATGTGGGCCTGCAATTGATTATTTTCTGCTGTTGTCTGTTGGTATTGTGGAATATAGAGTATGGAGTATATTTACTGTTGAAGCATGGAACTGTATTTTGGGCTCTTGTTACTTTAGGCATCTTTTGATTAATTTTGTTAAATATGCTTACAATAAAAATAATAATAAAAAGACCAAAAAAAGTAACTTTAATATACCTTAATCGATATATTTTTATTAAATAAATTAAGCTGATACGATATTTTATATACTACTACCTCCGTTTCGAAATATTTGTTACATTTGAAAAAATACTTTATTTGAAAATACTTATCACGTTTGTAGTTTCAAGAAATAATAAATTTTTTTTTCATGTTTATCCCTTATATATGATCAATAATTATTACTTCAATCTAATAGTTTTTTTTAGAGAATTAGCGCTAAATTAAGGGTAATATAGTCGATATACTCAATAATTTATTATAATTTAGACAAATTTAATTAAAAAAATATGAAATTAGTATAAAAGAAAATTTTATTTTGCGATGAAATTAAAGGAGTAGAAGAAATTAAGAAAGGTAGAGGAAAGTAGATGTTAGTGCAGTGGAGTTGATTTTTGTGCATTTGGCCTTGAAATGGGAAACATAGAGTATGATGAGTATTGGTTCTAACAAAAAAGCAAATACCCAAAGTGTGACACAAGGCACAATTAAGCTACTTCCACTCCCACATGTGCATGTACATAATTACAGAATCTTAGTTAGTAATTTTTTATTATTAATTAGTGAAAAATCTCATTAATTTTCATGATAATGTTGGTATCTTTTTCGTAGTTGAAGTTTCATAATTAGCATTAAACGAAAACGTAAACTTTAAGAGAAAGAAAGCTGGCATATACTTATGAATTCACACATGCATGCAAAAAATAATGTGTATAATATTATATTTGGCACTGCACTCTTTCATTAAGCTCTGTTAATTGCAATTAGCTAGGCTTTTGCTTCAAGTAAGATCTCTATTATCTACATCTTTTAGTTGTCAAGAACACTAATTACCCATTTGTAATAATGCAGTTGTTATTAGCTATTAGATTTAAAATTAAATTTACTACAATTTAATAATTATATATGTTTAATGGCTGACGAACTCGTTTTTATTTAAGGTCAATTTTATAAACGAATATAACGATTAACAACTCGATATCCAAGAATTAATATAGAAAAAAAAATTAAAATGTTTGTTAATACTCTTAAATTTAATAATTTTTCATATATAAAGTTAAAAATTGAAAATATTTTACAAATGATCACTAGGAAAAGTTTCAACACAGTCCAAGATAATTGAAGCAGCTGTAATAAACCTAGAACTAGCAATTACTATCTTGCACTAATTAAAGTTTCAAGTAATTAATAAGAAAGGGTAATGTTAATTTATGGGACCCAAAGCCATTTATCAAAGGAAGAGTGATGTGCTGGATTATTCAACCAAAATTGATATAGTGGTTAGACATTGGCCATTCTCTGTGGTACACTAATTGAATGCTTTGCATTCATTTTTCCACCTCCTAACGTTTTTTTTAATTTGCACGCGTGTCTTCGTCTTCTAATATTATTTATAACACGGAAAAAAAATCAGCTTTTTTTAATTTGCACACGTGTCTCCATCTTTTAATGTTATTTATAACACGGCAAAAATAAATCAACGATTGCATTTATAACACAAGAAAGAAAAGAAAAATACAAGCCATAGTATATTCACTAGTATTTAATTTCTATTTTCCACATTTACATGAAAGTCCCTAAGGAGGTAATGGTATAATTGATTAATCACCTGTTAGTTGAGAGGTAAAAATTACAAAAAAGGAAAAAAAAAAATTGAATTAAGAAGGTAATAAATAATTATAAAAATAACCCAAACTCACCCAATGATCTTGAGAGAAAAAAAAAACCCATATCACCCCAACAAGAAAATAACCAAAAAAGAAAAAGAAAAAGAAAAATCCAAGCTATATACCATTCCCTTAGGGACATCTCACATTTCTTCCAGGTCCTCCATAGTAAAAATAATTACCCCAAACTCTGTTAATTCCTCCTTGGATATCATAGCAGTTTGGATGATCAGCCAATACTCTTAAATTTGATAAGGGAATTAAATTATTATCCCAATCAACAACTTGTAAATTTCTAAAGTATGAAGCTTTTCCAAAACCCTCTCCTGCAAAATGACCACTTCCCATTTGGGTTGATGTGTGAAATCCTGAGGGCCTTGAATTTACAATTTCTCCACCAAATTGCACCATACTTGCATGATCTCTTAGGTGAGTGAATAAAAATGATGGCCAATACCCAACTAAAACCCCATTTCCAAATTCAAGCCACCAATTTCCATGCTTTGGATCCTACAAAAAAAAAAAAAAAAAAGGCCATTACCCAACTAAAACCCATTTCCAAATTCAAGCCACCAAATTTCCCATCTTTGGATCCAAAAAAAAAAAAAAAAGTAAAAATACATGAAGATAATTCATAAAAAAATGAAAAAGTATAGAGGGGGGTCAGGACTCAGGAAACAGGAAGCTCTTTTACTTGGAAAAGAAGAGAATCTTACAAAGCAAAAAAGTGGTAGGTAATTATAGATTCCATTTCAAGCTCTTGATGCAGGCAAAAATGGTCCAATTTGGGAATTACATTATTTTTTTTATTGTTTGGTCCCGGAAAATTGTATGTTAAAATTTTACCCTAAAATACAAAAGGAGCATTTCTTTTTTTATAGTAAGAATTTAATGTACCTTCCAAACTAATAAGCTGATATCAAATTGTCCTCCATTATAAGAAGATGTTGGAGAGATGGCAGCTCCAATTGCAATTCTATTGTTGGTTTGGACAAAGCCTGAGCATAGTAAATTGTAGCATCCAGTTGCTTGATAAGCATCAGTCTGTAATAATATTTACAAAAAGAAAAAGAAAGTGCTTATTAGATAGTGGCATAAGATTTTATCTTATGCTTGAAGGTAGGACAAAGGAGAAATAAATATTAATGTATATATATATATACTCACAGTCCAGTAGGTAAAAAACCTGGGATAATTGTCCCCATACAGTTCTGGGCTAACCTGCAAAAATTAAATAAATAAGAACAATTAAATGAGGATTAACATCTCTAGCTACAAACCTGCAAAAATTAAATAAATAAGAACAATTAAATGAGGATTAACATCTCTAGCTACAACACAAAAATATTAATGAAAATGAGAGGTAGTTGAGCTACTAAACTGCTTTAAATGTGAAAAAAAATATTTAATTTGCAGATTTTTTTTCTTTTCATGATATTATTGAGTGTTGAAACTTTGAATAATATAGCTTTAAACTTAAGTTATTTCTTGGATTGATGGTAAGCACTTTCATTTCTCAATCTACAAAATGGCAATGGTCAATTCATTTTTTTTAATAATTCAAGTCAATTAGGAAAATGTCAAAGACAAAATCCTCAATATAAAAATAAAATAAGAAAATGACATTTTATGTGAGAAAATATTTAATGAGGATGAGGATGAGAAAATTAGTGACACAGACCTGCCAACCAGCTTCAATAGTGTTAAGATCATCCCCGAATGAACCTGAAATGACCCACATTTGTGATAAGCTGAATTCATATTGGTTAGCAACTCTTGGTGCCCACACATTTATACTTGCTTTCGCACCATAGTATTGATCTCCACTCACATACCCAACTGCATGCTGGATCCAGTAAAAAATTTTTCAGGATCAATATATAATAAACCATAATAAAGAGAGTTTGTTCGAAATTTTAAGAGGGAACAATTGAAAAAATATATATATGTATAAAAAAAAAAAAGGTGTCAATTGACCCATTTCTATAATGTAGATATACCGCTGCATGCTGTAATCCAACAGTTTTAATAAATACACAACTGAACTTTAGTTTAACTCTTGAAGAAGATATGTCACTATCCTTCACTAACATATTAGTTCATCCTAAGGATTTTTTTTTTGTTTGTTTTTTATTTTTCAACCTTATATTCTTGGTGGTACGATACTATGGATTGTTTTGTTTTATACCCTTCTTTCTCCTTTTTGAAATTAGCTGGAATGTTAGGTTTATATAGCTTTTTTTGGCCACAAAGAATAATAGAAAAGAAAATTTGGAAATAAATACTTAACAAGGAAACTCTGAAAGTCTGCATTATTAACAGTTAGGAATTCTGATATTAAAGAACATTTAGATAGCAAAATTCATTAATTTTCTTGAACAGTAAATGCTAAAAGCTTTCTTGGTCATATTGATTCTCCTTTGCAAAATTAGACTTATACCTGAAAACTAAACTATCTTAAAGACTTAAAGGCTCTATAAGAAACCCAGAAATGTTTGGTTTGGTTTGGTTTGGTCAAAAGAAAAAGAATTTAAGGAGAGAAGCAAGAAAAATATAATAGTAAAAGGAAGCAAAACCATTGAGATCGGGGTTAATAATATCTAAAAGATTATCACCATTCAAAAAAGCAGTTTTTTGTATCATTACTCTTTTAATCTTTCTTTAAATATTTTTTAAAAAAACAATAATTGTCTTCATACAAAAAAAAAAAAAAAAAAAAAAAAAAAAAAAAAAAAAAAAAAAAAAAAAAGTGGCATGAAAAAAAAGAGACAATTAACAGGTTTCATTCACCATTTTGTTTGACCACTTTCTTTTCAGTTGTTGAGTTGATTAAGGCTGTGACTCTTCAGAAAAAGAAAAGAAAAGAAAAGAAAAATTTTTGTTGTTGTAATTCTTTTTTGAACACCAACCTCATGTCCATTGCTGTTTGTGTCTCTTCTAACATGTCTTCTTAGTTTCCTTCCAAATCTTCTAATAGAACTAGCTCTTAACATATCTTCTTCCTTTGTTCTTCTTATTGGAATTGTCCCTTCTGGGCATGACCCACCAGCTTGACTCCATAACTGAAAATTCTCACTTACCATGCCTGTTGGATTATGCCCTTTTGGTCTTTCTGGTGCCTCCTGCAATTCATCCAAAATAAATAGATAAAATGAAAGAAAAAAAAAAGATGGAAATCTTTAAATCGGAAATTTTCCTCTGCTTTGAAATATCAAATTTCTTAATAAATAGTATCTTCTAAAATAATATTACCAATGGTTTTTTTCCTTTCAATTGTGGATGATCAAAAGCTGGTTGCTGATGAGACAAAACACAGTCTATAAGATCTCCATCAGGACTCTGCGAGAAGCAAAAAACCTGTTAAAACTCAAAAACAGAGCAAAAGCAAGACAAAAACAGAGGAAATGAAAACAGGACAAAAACAGAGCATTATTAGAGAGAGAATAATAATAATAAAAAAACAAATATAAATGCCTGAATTGTCTTGACAGAAGGCTTGTTAATCTTGTTAAGATGTTCTCTTATAATCTTCAACTTATGTAACTCTTCTTCCGGCCTGAAAGTCTGATTTGTTGCATGGCTATTGCCGGTTGCCGACGAACAAACAGGACAAATTAAAGAAACAACAAGAAGAAAACATACAAAAAGGGAAATGATTGGTGAGATCTCACTGCACCAACTAGAAGCCATGTTTGAGAAATTTCTTGGTGTTGTTTCTTTTGCCAAATCTGTATGTATTTGTTGTTGTCTACATTGGTGTTGTTGTTCTTGTCTTCTTCTATGATCAAAACAATAACACCATTTATTCCTAATTTTTGTATCCACCCAACACATGATAACCATCTAAGAAATCCAACTTATTCAAAACCAACAACTTACAAATTTACAATTCAATCTCTCACCATTTCCAAAGTTCTTGAACCCCAAAAAATAACACATAACTTCTCTTTCTCTTCTTTTTTATCTTTCCCTTTCTATTCTCTTATAGCTTCTAATTCTTCACCTTGGTTTTATGGCTCTGACAGGCTTGAACTTCTATGCACCAGTTGAATAAAAAAAACACCAACACTCACACACACTATTGGGTTTGGTTTTCTTAAAGTTTTGCCCATGTGGGTATGGTGTTATAAATACTGGGTAGTGGTGAAATCATGCTTATTTAATTTATAAATTTTTCTTTAAGAATTGACAATAGAAAATGGGCAGAGAGAGAGAAAGAGAGAGAGAGCATGTAACTATGTATAATTGTGTAGGATATGTTTATATGTTATGTTTCCAGTCTTCTATACAAAGTCTGAAACTAGAGAGAGAGAAAGAGAGAGAGAGCATGTAACTATGTATAATTGTGTAGGATATGTTTATATGTTATGTTTCCAGTCTTCTATACAAAGTCTGAAACTTCATCTTTTGTGTGTTAAAATTTAAAAGGGCAAAATGGTACTGAGATTTTTCTGTTATTCTTTACTTTGGTGATGAGGACAGATAGGAATTACACTTGATTCTGGGTTTCCAAAGTTCTTTGCTTTAGAGGCTCTTCTCTCTCTTTCTCACTTCCCTAGATGTTCTTTGTCTATTCTTATTTTTATTTATTTCTTATTATTTAACAAGTTAAAAAAAAAAAAAGCTAACCCACTTTGATTTACCTTAATATTTTTTAAAATTATTAATTTAAGTTTATGGGTTTTGGTCCTTTTGGATAATTTGGTCAATAGAATTATGGGCTGATTAACCTAAGACTGATTTTGCCATGTTGGGTCCATGTTGGCATTACAAAAAGAAAATCAAAGGCTATGAAGTGTGAAAATGGTGTTAAAAATCTTTTTGTTTTTGACCTAACAGAGTTTGAAATTTTTTTTTTTTTCCCTTCTCCCATAATTAAGTACCAAACACCTTTTAAAGATGTCATTGTCCAAGAATTTGCTAGTGTTGGGCCTGCATGAGTTGTTGGCACGCCTACTTGCTTACTCTAATTTCATTCTCATGCATGCTTATTATGTTGGGTTGAGTTTGGTCTTCCTAAATTTTTTCGTTTTGAGGTTCTTTTTTGTTCTTTTATTTTCTTGTCTCGAGAACAACTCTTGCTAGTCAAAGCCATACCGACAGGGCAATGATATGAGATATTGTTAATATTTTAACAGGATAGCCTTCTTTCAACTCATTAAATCGATAAAAATACTTATGTTTGAGAAATCTCTCCCTCGCTCCTCGTATAAGTGAGAAAGATCAACCAAAACACATCTAATTAGTAATATTTTAATCATAATGAAAACACTCGACAATATCTTAAATATTATTGTGAATGAAACCGAGAATGGATGGAAAGATTTTGGGCAAAAAAGAAAAAGAATTATGAGGTCATGGTCAAATGGAAATGACATCATTGATCACTACATATGGAGCTTACTGCTTAGAGACTTGGACTTTTGTGAATGTCTACTAGTAAATGTTAATCTATAAAGCTCTTCAGATTATAGGAAGATTTAAAACAATTCAGCAATCTCTCCCATTCATCCATTATTATTATTATTATTATTATTATTATTATTTGTTAATATAAAGTTGAAGTTTATTTTTTTAGACAGAGACAGATTATAATTAAAAGCAGGGAATGTGAGAGCACCAAGGCTGGGAGTTTTTATTTTGGATTTGTAGTATTCCTTCCTACATCTATAATTCCCTTTTTAGGGCTCTGGCAATCATGCCTGCCACTTCCCCACCTAGCAATCCCTTCTTTTTTTTTTTTCCCCCTTGCTTTCTCTATTTTTCTCTCTATAATTAATCTAATCTAATTAATTAATTAATGTCTAAACAGTCTCACTTAGGCTCACCTACCTGCAACAAAATCAAATGACATGGTGTGGCTGTAGCATCTAGGTTTATATATATAGCTAGCAAATATATTGGCCCACAAGGTGTCACTCCCATTCATTCCAACTCAATTGATACAAACATAACCAAGAAATATACTTAAAACTTGCTATTTTTTTTAGAAAATCTCGAATAGGGAAAAGAAATCATGTGCTTCACTTATATATATACACGTTGTGGAATTATAATTCTAAAATTCTAAAATTGTGTTCGGCAACAGTTTTTTAAAAAAACGTTAAGTGATATTTTTTATAGTGTTCGGTAGCATAACGCTAAACGCTACTAAAATAAAAAGTTATTCAAATAGCTACACGCTATTAGAATAGTTAACAGCTATCAAAACAGTTAATTTTACCGAATAGACCTTAAGTCAATTCCAATTCACCAATCAAATAATTAATTGATAGGTTATATTTTCTTGAAAAAAAAAAATTGATCAAATTATAGTTCCTTTAAAGCTCTAGTGTCCTGCTTCAACTCAGATATAAAGATCATTGACCTGGAAAGCAAGCACAAGTTGAAGCATTGGCAATGGCTGTTGGTCCCCCAAATCCACTAATTTAGGGTCATTTCAGTTTGTTTCTTCAATGGCAATGAAACCTATTGGTCGCCTTGTCACTATAATATTCTACATTCAAGGATTTTCACTTTTCACTGCTTTACCCCAACATTAAAGTAACATTCTCAGATTTTGGTCTCCAAATGAGTGAAAAAGAGAACATTTTGATTTGGTCTAGTAACAAATTTAGCTAATAGAGTTAATATGGAAAATAACTTTTCACCTGAGCTCTGCTACTAAATGCCTTAAATAAATAATAAATAAATAATTCATGAATTAAAGAAAAGTGGATAAATTGGAATATCATATCATATAGGTACCAGTAACTATCATAAAATCTAATTTTATTCAACATATTAATCAAAATTATTTCTCTTTTTATCGTTCGCAATAACTCTTTATTAGGATAAAGATTTTTCATGAATAATTTTTAGTTGAGTGATATTAGAATGTTCGTCTTCATAGTTTGAACTCCAACAAAATTAAAGTAAAAAAGAAAAGGCTTTCCTATATATAAATTATGATTGACAATGAATTAATCAACTATTTGAAACTCTGGTTAAAGCTGAGTAAGGAAACTTCTAACAAAGGCCGTAAACCAAAAAAAAAAAAAAAAAAATTCTAACAAAGGCCGTAAACAAAAAAAAAAAAAAAAAAAAAAAAAAAACATTAGAGGACATTCAAAATTGTTTGGAGACTATTAACATCGTCCCCAACGAGCATCCTCTTAACGAGCATACCCTATTTTTATAGGGAATGATTTTCGGTGAACAATAATTATCTTCAATTTAAGAGCCATATATTGTCCCTTCAATTTTAGACGAAAATTGTATCTGAAAACAAGGTCAATATTTGTCCCTTCTATATGGGACGTCAATCATTCCCAAAATTATCTCATAGATGAAATAAAAAACTTTTCAGGAGGTCACTTATCCTAAGATTTCTCTTAAACGAGCATGTTTAACTCAAGAATTCTTCCAACTTTGCAAACCATTATACCAAATAATATCTTTAATAATTAATTTTTCTCTTTTTAATATATGACATATTTATTATCAGTATAGGAGATAGAAGTAATCCCCTTTATATGAGATGTCAATTGTCCTCAAAATTGAGGACAATAATTGTCCTTAATATATGATACGTAAACTGTATCTCATACATATAGGACATCAATGGTTTCCAAAATTTATGGCCATAATTATCTTTAGTATAAGAGACATAATATGTATCTCATATATAGAACGTCAGTCGTCCCCAAAATTTATGACAATAGTTATCATTAGTAATAGAGACACCAATCGTCCCATTTCCCATATGGGACATCGGTCGTTTCCAAAATTAAAAATAATATTTGTCCTTAGTATTAGAGATGTAAATCGTCTTTTATTATTGATACAATTGTTATTCCAATTTCTAATTAAAATATTAATAAGTTATCGTAATAAAGATACATCGTCCCCTTTGTGTCTTATTATCACAAAAGAGGATAATTTTTAAAATTATCTCCTAATTTCAAGGAGTTATGACTTTTAGAGCCAAATAATATTGGTTGTCTCCAATTCTCGTTCCTCCTCTCACTTTTTTTATTTAATTTTTATTTTTTAAGAAAAAAGAAAGAAAAAAAAGTTTTGGGTTTCATCATTAAAAGAACCCTATATATTTGGGTTCAATCATTAAAAAGACCCTATATATATATATATATATATATATATACACACACTAATGTGAACAGAAATTGAAGAGGTCACACACCCACAAAGCCACAGTAGCCATCAAGTGACCACACCATGCGTGTGTGGAAGTGGGACTAGAGATTGCATGTGCATTACTCCAAATAATTAGTAATTTTTGTTTAATAGGGTTACAGATCCTGATCAATCTATGACATTATTAACTACATTAATGTTACTACTATCTGCAGCAAATTAATTATTTTTCACAGAAACTGAGTAATAGTTTGAAATTGCAGAGATTTACAGAAGAAATGACAGTTAACTGTAAGGCAAAATCGTCAGCTGTTAATGCTGCTGATTATAGGTATGATTAATACCTTAACAGGATTTTTTTTTTTTTTAATGTATCAAGAGAGAACTCGAACTTGTATTTGTTATCTAAATGTACAAACATTGATGTGCATTATAATATGAAATTTTTAAAACCTGTGAAATTTAATGTAATTAAAATCTAGTTTTCATGTTAAAATATCATACTTTTGAAATAGCATTTTGTAACATATAAAAATAAATGTTTTGTCACTAATATTTTCTAATTCTTATTTAATGATATCACTGTGTATATTGCTAGTAGTTGTCACTGATAGAAATTAATGTGAACAGTTAAAAAAAAAAAAACATGGAGTAAGCTGCTGACCATGTGTACGCACTACACATAGAAGATGTAATTCATTAATGAAAATAAATGATTGGAGACTTTGACTAATGAGACGGTTAAAAAGAGTTAAGTAGTCTCTCTGCGTTGCATGGATCAGATTAATTTGCATGGCAATGTTAATTCTGAAATGACAGATTAACAGTAGAAAAGAAATGACAGCTAATACTTCCAGATTGGGCCTTTCAGTCCATTTTAATGTGAATTCCACACTTTTTCTTTCTTTTTTTTTAAATTAAATAGATAAAGTAATATTTCTTTCTTTTAATATTTCAAATGGGAAAACAAATTAAGAATATCAATCATCAACAAAACTCGATCGAGAATTATTATGCATTGTTGATCTGAGAAGCCATGCGATTGATGCATGGTGTAATGAATTCAGTGTTGCCCTTTTCATCGGCTTTTCTAATGCAACTATCTAAAAGACATGCACTGTAAATAAATAAAT